AGTGAATAAGGTTTGCAATTCAGTCCAAAGGGTAATAAAAATAAATAAATACATAATAAATGTTCCAGCAATGGAATGGATGTTTTACAAAAAACTACAACAGCCACCTATGGACTGGGTCATCTAGAAGGATTTCTCCCGAGAAAGAGATTATTCCTAGTCACACCAGACTCTGGGGGAGGCCGGGCGACAAAGACATTGGGCTAAGTGCCGAGGGGCACAGAAAGGAACACAGAGGCTGAGTGCCGTGGGAACCAGCTGGATCTTAAAGGATCTTAAAGGAGGGGCCTAGGGAGAATGGGAGCAGGAAGAAGGACCACCCTGTGGAGAAAGCGGAGCCAAGACACAATCATCTTTGAGAAGGGACCTTCGGGAGCTTTATGGCAGGAGAGTGGGCGGGGAGACAGACAGAAGTGTGTTGCAGTCAGGACGGCATGGAGGGGAGGTGGCCTGAAACCTGCTGGAGGCTGTCGCAATACGCAGAAAAGGAATGACAAGGACCCACCCCATGAAGAGGTGGGAAACACAGCAGAACTGGGAGATAAGTGTGAAGTGGAAGCTGAGCACTCTGGCGTCTTGGAATGCTCCCTTCCCAGCACCTCACGGACTGCAGGTGTGCACCACTGCTGGTGAGTGAATGAGCAGGTGCAGGATGGGTGGTCACAAGCTCAGGGAAGTAGCAGGAGTGGACAGTGCAGCAGCCTACTTGCTCACAAAGACGTCTCCTAAAGACACTGACTCATTCATTTTCCCTGCTGTCACCTTTAGCAGGAGAGGGAACTGGGAAAGTGGGTCAAGTGGGGCCTCTGGAGGACAGCAAGGCAAGCCGGAACGATCCCCAGGCTGGGTGGGAGCTGTGTTCCTGGCTCCAGTTCAACAGATTTTCCTTCCCCGGAGGGTGAGGAGCGTGGGGCAAGACTCTGGTGCATCAGCTGCACCCTGAACCCTGCTTATTCTCTACCATCTGCATTCCATTTATTAACATGATGCTCCCAGATTGAGATAATGATTTAAAAGCTCTAATTTTGTTACATTCTGAAGCCTGGCTCCCATCGAGGCTGATTGTAATGAGATTTGAGAAGAAGCCTGGCTCTTAGCTGGGGTCAATTCATCTTGAGGAGAAAGTGCTACTATCAAAATGCCCAGGAATTATTAGCACTTAGAGGAAGGCTGAAGAGACCCATTAATGCGAGATGTCTAGGGAGTCCTGAAGTGTGAGGTGCAATTATACTTCTTATTTATTCCCTCTGGCTTCATATTTAAGGGTGAAGAAAAGATGGGTAGGTAAGGCCACATGAAGATCAATAAATATTTATTAAGCACCTATAATGCTGTCATGCAGCCTTCCCCCTGCATAATGTGTCAGTGTTCACGCGCGCAATACCATTAGCACACCGCGCCGGTCTCTGTCATTCCCCAAGTCCAGCCCTGGAAGCAGGAGAGTGTGGGTTGGGTTTTGTTGTTGTTGGGGTTTTACGTCTTTTCTTTACTTTAATCAATGAGGAATCTAACGCTCAAAGAGAATACTTGCCTTTCTTTCACATGTGGTAGAGCTAGGTTTTAACCTAGATTCCCAATTCTGTAAGTACACTACCCTACTTTCTTCCTGTGCTGGGCTGCATGGATCTGGGGGACCAAAGGGATTTAGCATGTGGTCTCTTTTCAAACAGTGCTTTTCCATCTGCATGAATATCACATTCATCTAGTAAACTTTAAACAGAGACAAAGTGCTGAAACCTGGGCCCCAACCTCTAGGGATTCTGCTTAGTCATATGGAGTCAGGCCCTGACCCTTGGAGCTTGTAGAGCACGGGAGAGAGGGGAAGAATATGGTGACAGGTGAGGGGAATAGAGCTTATCTCACAGCACTTTGATCGTTCTTTGCTCTTAGTTTTATTAATCACAAAGCTCTATGGTCAGAAGCCAAGGCCAGACCTGCCTATTGCCTGGCCTCCAGTCCCACCAACACTCCTTCGAGGAAGGGAGCATGACTGACACTTTTAGAGACCTTGGGATGGTGCAGTGGGACAAACAAAGAGATTGAAACTAAAAGAAACTGACTTCAAAACCAAGTCCAGCCAGATTCTACTTGTGTGAGTTTTTAAAAACTAAAACTCAAGTTAATTTAAGTCTAAATTACCTAGGATGTAAAATGGAATGTAAAAAGTATCCCTAGATTACCACATGAAGATCAAACAGATGAAACATATTTGAGCTTTGGAGGCCCCACTATGCAGACAGTGAAAAACATAATCCTGATGACACTGCGGGGAGGGAGCTGGTGAATAATCTGCCCAAGGTCATAGCTCACAGCTCAGGCCTTTGACGCCCCACAGCCCCATTCACCAGGCTGCAGGGCCCATCCAGGTTCAACCACCAGGGCAACTCTTGCACAGCGCCTGGCTGGTCCCAAAGGCATTTGTTTTCAGATCCTGCTTTAAAGAGAAGATAGCAATGCCAGCTCCAGAGAGGCAGGAAGGCTTCCTGGTGTTTGTGGATAGCAAAAATGTTGAAACCAAAATGCTTCTAGTGCCTGGGGAATCACAGAGTAAACTAAGCTCTCAAGGGCTGAGAGTTTATATTCAGATACCTGGAGAATTTTAAAGCTGGAAGGCACATCCATTGTAGCTTTCATGAAAGAGAAAAAAAATCTGAAAACCTCTGGAAGTAGAATGAGACTTAAGGTTTTAAAGTAGTAGCTATAAAAAGACTTGCCTGTAAAAATAGGGCAGACTTGTCTTGCCTATGGCAGTTCCAAGGATGAACTGAAATACTGGACAAGTGCTCTGAAAACTCAGAAGCAGCGATGCTCACTCAGTGCCGGCTGCACATTAGAATCTAGAATTGCCCCAGCAGCTTTCACTCAACGCCAGTCTTGGGGGCCCCAGTCAGATTGATTAAGTCAGCTCTCAGGAGTGGACTTGGCAGTGACTTTGGTAGAAGCTCCCCAGGCAGTTGGATTGTGCAACTAGAATTAAGAAATCACCACTGTCAGGCATCATGCAAGTCTAAGTTATAATTGTCTATTATTCAGGAAGACTCAGGACTTACACAGAATTCTGTGCCCCCTTCTACTAAGGCTCAAATAAGAGCTACAGCTTTAATCTATGGCAGAAGGAATGGCTTAATCAGAGGAAGAGCAGTGCATCTGACAAGGGGGTTAAAAGTCCCTAAGTGTTTATCTCTCTGTAGGGGTGACCCAACCACAGACCTCTTTAGAAAACTTCGTGACCTCTGAATTTCATTTGCTCCTTAATAAAGGAAATAAAGAGAACCTCGTGGAAGTAACGTTTCAGGGTGGAGCTTCTGGTCATGGGGGCAGAAACGGGGTACAAGAACTTGGCAGCTCTAAAGCATGTTTCCAAGTGAGCACAGGGCTCAGCCTCTCAACCCGGCAGCAGACAGGACCACGGTCCTGTGCGCATGCACGTGGGGGTCACTGACTGAAATGTCATTCCACGGTGTGTGGCTGGATCTGTACCTGCAGTCCTAGGGCTGACATATCAAAGTACATCAGTTAGGTCCCTCGAACAACAGAAATTTATTGTCTTACAGTCGGGAGGCTGAAAGTCTGAATATAATTCATCAATAGGGTCACTTCCCTTTAAGGGCTATGAAGGAAAATCTGTCCCCTGTATTTTTTTTAGCTTCTGTTGGCCTCAGGAATTCTTGCATGCAGATAAATCCTAATCTATCTGGTTATGGTTTTTTTAAAAGTTCATTTTTAAAATTGGGAAATTAAAAATATAAACAATTAAGTCACTCATAATTCTATGGCCCAAAGGCAATCATTATCAATATTATTTTTGTTTTTTCTTAGTTTCTCTCTACGTACATTTGAGAATGAAAACTTTAGCTCACTCACCACATTTATCACCCTTGAGTAATAATTTAGAGCTTAGATCAGAAAAGGCTTAAATTTAAATACAGTTTATTTAAGTATAAAATTAATCCTCTTGGCTCAAGTCTATTTTCAAATGGTAATATGCTGCCTTCTATACTTGGAAAAAATAATGAATGATTACTGAGGAGATATGTTCACTTCTAAGAAAATTATATTGGGATAAGTCTTCAAATCATGTTCTAGAGAAACTGCAATTTTTCTGCTCTTTGTTCCCCATCTGTGGCAGTGGGATATTATGCAAGTCTAAACTGATACCCTAGTGACTTCAGGAAAGTTTCCTGTCTCAGCAGCTGAGCACGCTCAGGGCTAGTGCTGGGAGCTTCATCCATAACTCCAGAAGCCAGATTTCTCTGAGACACCCTGAGTACATGTGTCACTTGCAGCAAGGGACACATGAGCAAGAACAGAGGTGTGCAGTCCCAGCTAGGAACATGCAGGTGTGTGCTAGCTGGGCCAGCTGCCGATGGCCCTCATAAATCACTCCTGGCTGGTACCCAGGGGCTCTTGCTACTCCATGGAGGTTGGTGCTGAAAGATAAGAGCCAGAGATCAATTTCACATGTGAAAAAGATCATCCAGATAGTTCACCAGCAGCGTGTGCTCTCATTCTCTCCCCGCTGACACTCTCCTGACTGTCTTTCCATCCCACACTCATCGATGATCAACCCAATAATTGAGGACTTATTCCTGGAGGGCTATATCCAGGTGATGATATAATTAAGAGGGCCACAGAGTTATTTCCACAGAATTTGCTCATAATTAGCGTCTTTGTTATAGTTAATTAGGACAATGATTTAAATTCCCTGCACTGGTTTTCTATTTTGAAGTAGGATTATTCCGTGGCACCAACATTCTTTGACAGCCTACTGTGTGACCAATACTATCTTAGCCCTAAGGCAGTGTGGTGCAGCCCTTAAAAATCTGATGGTTTGGCTGTGAAAATAAGGCATCAAATAAATGTAATACATTCTGTTGGGTGGTTAGCACACCCATGTGTTGTACACCGCAGTAGATACATTATGAGAGATGCATCCTTGGGTAATTTTACCTTGAGAACATCATAGTGTGAACTTACATAGACTTAGATGGAAGAGATCATTCACTTGATGTGGCCTCTAGATGCAGTAAAAATACTCAGTCAATGCTGGAGGTAGAGCACTTGCCGAGCACGCGTGAGGACCTGGGTTCAATCTTCAACATGGAAAAAAAAAAAAACCCGGTAAACAAGATGTATGAGACTGCAGCTAGCAGAACATGGCATGCCGTTTATAGGACACATTTTTTATAAGTTGAAGGATTATACTAAAAAATACTAGTAAAATGTTCAGTACAGTAAATACGTAAAGCAGTCACACATCTTTTATTCTCATTGACAAGTAATATGTAATGTACACAGTTGTATGTGCTACACTTTTAATGCCCAGCAGCACAGTAGGTTTATTTACACCAGCAGTGCCTCTGACACAAATCATGTGTTGCACTAGGGTGTTACAACAGCTGCTGCATCACTAGGTGATGGGAAGTTCTCTGCTCTGTTATAAACTTAAAAAGCTGCTGTGCCGTATGCACATTGGTGGTGAGTCACTGACTGGAATGTTCTGTGGCTCATAACTGTACCTATACTAATAGTCCTAGGGCTGAATATCCAAGTGCTACCAATGAGGTCACTTAACAGAAATTTGTCATCTTACAGCTGTGGAGGCCAAGTTCCGTTAGGAAGAATTTTCCTCATGCCACTCTCCTAGCTTCTGGTGGCCTCGGGAGTGCTCAGCTTGTAGTTGGCCTTCTTTCTGGGTTTCCCAATCTCTTTGCTATGTGTGTGTGTTTGTCTCTGAATCAACATTTCCTCCTTTAGTAAAAACCCTAGTCATACTGGATTAGAGGCCATCTGATTGTTCTCATCTTAACCTGATCATCAGCAAGGACCTTGTCGCCCAGTATGGTCCCAAGCACAGGTACTGGGAGTTAGGACTTGAACATCTTTTCTGGGACACAATTCATCCTATAACGGCATGCATGCATATGAGCAAAGCTCAGAGGGGGGTACAGGGAAGGGAAAAATAGGCCTTAAAGGGGGGGGTTGAAAGAAGGAGAGGACAGGACCTCCTAGGAACAGGTAATGTTACATGCAGAGGCCCAGAGGGAGAAGTCAGTTTCTAGAGAATGGGAAAAGCAGGAACATGCCAGGAAACAAGCTAAGCAATTGATTGGTTCCCTGATCTGAGGTTCCTTGGTCTCCTAGTCAGGAACAGAGGGTCACAGACCAGGTAAGTTATAAAGACAAGAGGTTCATTTGGGCTCATAGTTCTTGCTCAAGGCCATCTAATTATGACCTTCTTGCTTGAAGACTCCTATAGTGGCATCATATGGCAGAGAGATGGAGAGTGAGACCTAGCCAAACTGGCTTTTAGAGCAGATCTTGCCTCAAGATACACACATCAACACATTAATCCATTTATCGCACCAATGGATTAATTCATTCAGGAGGGCAGAGCCCCAATCACCTCTTAATCTCTTCATCTCTCAAAATGGAGATCAAATTTCAATGTGAGTTTTGGAGGGGACAAACCATATTCGAACCATAGCACCTGGCAAGTTCCTTGGTAAGGCTAGTAAGTTCGAGGGCCCAAGAACCAGAAGAGAGGATGACAGACTCCTGCAGAAGCAACTCAGGCAGAGTCTGCTCCTGAAGGGGAAGGAGGATGCTGGTGGAGGAGGGAGGGGTGCTAGGAAAGGAGGTGTGCTCTGGAGTAGCTGGCAACACCTGACACACCACAGCAGATATCTCCACACTTCAAAGTTGTAGCTCAAGCTAACAAACTCTTAAATTAAATCTGCTCTCTTCTCCTACCTTTACAAACACAACTTTAGAAGAACCTGGAAGACCAAGTTTCAATCATAATTTCTGGGAAGTGTAAATAAAGACTAAAAGGATAACAGATAATGTGAAATAGGAAGAAAAGGTGCAAAGGGGAAGGGAAAGTGGGAGGGGTAGGGGAAAAGAAAGAGGGGAATGGAATTACTATAAGAACAAGAAAAAAATGAAAACAAAGTCTTTGTAGATTGGGAGGGGTAGAGGGGTTGAAGCGGGGTAGGGGAATGGGGAAAAAATAAGAACCAAGATGGACTATGTAAAGGTGCAAATTCCCAGTGATGAATGTCATTATATTGTATACCTTAAATATACCAATAAAATTACTTAAAAAAAACCCAATTACTGGTTTCTGAGTGTTTCCTCATCAGATGTAGTAGTGTGAGGGAAACAAGCCCTGGCCCACAGCACCCCTTTCTCAACCTACCCCTGGCTCCATGCCCACCTCCATCATCAAATGCTTATCATTTGTCAGTAGCCATCTGGGGCAGACCGGAGAGAACTTGGTTTAGGAAGGTGTCTGTGCCCTTGGAAACCCCGGATGCCTGGGGATCCAGGCTGGGCACCTGAAGAACCTGCTGCACTGTGGATAATGTGTGGACAGTCTCTCTGCAAGCACAGCAGTGACCGGCACAGTGGGGAAGAAAATGTCTCGCGGGGCTCCACAGGACCACGCATCCTATTCTCATCCCTAAAATGGGAATAGCAATGTTGCTGCCTCATGGGGCCATTGGGAAGAATAAACATATATGCATAAATATGAAATTGTGTGTGTGTGTGTGTGCGTGTGTGTGCGTGTGTGTGTGTGTGTGTGTTGTCCGTCAGGGTCCTGGTCCCAAACCCCTTGAAAATACCAAATTACATAGATGCTCAAATCACTTTCATAAAACGACGTAGTATTTACATGTAAACTGTGGACATCCCCTGGTATGCCCCACATTATCTCTAGATTACTTATGATACTTAATTCAATGTAAATGCTATGTCAGTTGCTGTGATATTGCATTGTTGAAGATGACAAGAAAAAAGTTTGTACATGTTTCGTAGAACAATTTGTTTTCTGTTATTTTCCTTCCATGGGGGATGTGGAACCTATAGCTACAGAGAATCAAGTACATATGCTCACAGCTATACAGTCATTGTAAGTGCTTTTAATAAATGAGCTTATTTAATCTTTTACAATAATACTAAAAGACCAGTGGTATTATTACCCCTATATTTCCCACGAGAAAGCTAAGTCACTAGACTGTAAGTAGCAGAAATGTGATTCGGTTGCCCACTGCAAGCTCTTAATCATTATATAGTATTGTCTGTTTTCCATGGAATAATATTACCTGGTTTAATGAATTAATCACCTGCTGGTAATAAACACTCAGGATATTACTGCCCTTGCTGTTGGCATCACTGTTAATTACTGCTGCATTCGGGCACGTGTGGTTCCTATAGATACTTCCTCCCCTGGCTCAACCGCCCCAGAGCAGAAGAGGAGCAGTGAATACTGCACAAGGGAAGAGAGGTCCTGGCTGCACACCCATGCTGCCGGTGAGCAGCTGCTGTGAGCTGGCTGAGGCGAGGCAGTGAAAGTGAGCAGGCGCTGTGACCTCTACCCAGAGGAAATTATAGGGTGCTTCCAGGAGGGGCTTCTGTGATGAGGGTTATGTTGACATTTACATTCGGATGAATGCCCTTCCTCAAGGGTTTTATAATTCAGCTGCTCTAATTTATAATGGGACTTTTAAAAATAGATGCACATATTTTCCACTCCACCTGTGAGTGGAAATAAGTGGTTTATACATACCTTTCTTCTTTGGCTGGACTATTACCATATTTCACTGAGCAAGTCTCTTGTCAACTTTATTTCTTGTGTTTATATCAGTCCAGTGGGCAGGATCTAAGATGAGAAGCCAGCAGAAGCAGGGCCTGTGGGCTGCCTGGCTGACTGGGTGCAGTGCTCTCTGTAATTGCTATGAATAGAAGACTGGGTCCCTGGAGCCAGCCGGCATGGTGGCAGCAGAAGCTCAGATCATGGTGACTAGTGATCTGAGCTTCTGCTGTCTCCACCAAGGTCTAGCAAAGACATAAAGCAAAAGGGCCCAGCCTAGCTGCTGGGCTTCAGCCCTGCTTCCAACTGTCTGTGTGAACTGGAGTCAAGCAGCTAAGTTTCTCTGTGCCTCAACTTCCTCATCTCTTGAATGGGCTTGATGATGATACCTGACTCATTGCTGTAAGAATAAGTGGGATGAAATAAGTAAGCACAGAAGTGTTTACAGTGGGGCTTGGTTCCTGGAAAATGCTTCCTAATAGTATCTGTTGTCATTTCTATTAAATGGGCCCCTCCAGTGCCAGGTCACCTTAGCTACTGTCAACTGTGTGACAGGTGAAGAAACCAAACCTGGGAAGTTGATTGATTTATCTAGACTCTGGAGACTCATTATAGCTTTGGCAAGACTGGAACTCAGGTTTTTTCTTACAGCACTCCTTCAGAGTGTGAACACTTGCAATCATCAGATGTAACAACTCCAAGTGTTAGGCAACCTAAAGTACCTTGCAGTGATTAGTCAGGTTCTCCAGAATCCCTGTGATACCAAAATCAATGCATGCTCAGGTCCCTCATCTAAAATGGCATAGCATTTGCATATGTCATGTGCACATCCTCCGGTATCCTTTAAATCATTCCTAGATTATATACAATACCTAGTAGATGCTCATGCTTAGTACATAGCTGTTGTTAATGTATTGGTCAGGAAATAATGACAAGAAAAGTCCACATGGTCAACACAAACACATTTATCATAAGCCTAACCATAGTTTTGAACTGCAACTGGTTGAATCCATGGGTGTGGAACTCATGGATACAGAAGGCTGACCGTGTACACATCCATACACCTGTATACAATGCAGACAATAGTCTGGACATGGTGTTCCTTCAAACATGCATGTTGAGACATAATCCAGTCACATAGTAGAAGATGAGCCTTTAAAAAGTGAGTAAGTCATGGGTGTTCTGCCCTCATGATTGGGATAAGTATTCCTGGAAATTGAGGAAAGTGTCCTTGCCTCAGTCTGACGATGCCTTTAAGGTGGACCTGCCAGCCTCCAGAACTGTGTGGAAAAAATATGCCCACTGTCCATATATTACCTAGTCTAGGGATTTAGGCACAGCCACAGGAATGTACTAACACACACACACACACACACACACACACAAGCACAACCTTAAGGAATTGGCTCATGCTCTGAAGGCTGGCAGGTCCAAGCCTGCAGGGCAGGCAGGCAAGCCAGAGACAGGGGGAAGAGATGCTGTGGCTGTTTGGTCTGA